CTTGTGTAAGGCTAAGGATCCTGCATTGTTACTGAGGGTTTTAGCACCAGAAACAGGACTGCGTGGATTTTTCCTCTCTTCTTCCCTGCATTGCAGATATGCAGAAGACAAGCATGGCTATGCTCTGATGAAAAGAGCCCCTTGTAGGAAAAATGTCCACAATTTAATTCATGATCCTTTTTAGATATATTCTCAAGTCTCCTCTAGCTGTAGTATGTATAAAAAAGGTAGAACTAAAATCCATTTATAAGACAATATATTCTTTAATATTCAGTTTTATGGTGGATCAGGGTAAGCCTCTGCTTCTCTTTGCACTGATTACTGTTGACAAATCTGATACTTTCTAATAGGGGCCTTTATTAGCTGGCTTTTAAACAAATTTGCATGAAATATTTAGGTTGCAATCTGAAAGCCTTAATTGAATTTCAGTCCAGAAGCAGTATCTGTACAAAACAAAGGATTGAAGTATTAAATACAGTATTTGTTCTCATAAGAGTTAACTATCATTGGCTAGGACATGCCATATTGCTCTAGATGTCAAGCAGTATTCTTTACCATTCCCTGTTTGACCATCTGGGCTGCAGTACTATTCTGTTGCTGGCAGAAGCAAACACCAGTTTTCTTGTCTCAGAGGGAGCAGCATTAAGAGACTGGCAGAACGTACTGAGTAATATATTAGGCTTTTGCAGCTGTTCTCAGTCACAGCTGTTCTCAACACAAAGTAGTAACACCAGCATAACACCAGAATCAGTAGCTCTTTTTAGTTTGATAAAAACATGCATGAAGTGCTTAAATTGGTAGGCACTGTAATAGCTGGCCCCAAAATTTCTGTCAGTGGTAGTGCCAGTAATTAATTATATTGTTTGATACTGTATTAGGTCAATAAAAGATGACATACGCAAAATGGCCATTAGGTAATGGTAAGGCGGCAATACCAAAAGCCTGTTTAGTTCAATACTACTGAAGTCATCTAAATGTGGTGAAACACAGCCTCCGTATGTAATGATATTCTGACTCCGTTTCCAGCCCCATTCAATCTACATATTTGTGTATATTTTCTAGAGTACAATATGTCTTGTATTTTGATTTCAGTGCTTATATATTTGTAAATGTTTTTCTTCTCCTGTTTCCAGAGAAGTGAATTAGGAGTAAAATCTGGAGGCATCTGTATACTGTACTGCTGACATTGCTGAGAGAATAAGCAGCAAATCTTTTTGTAATGCTTTCTTCCCAAATCGTAGTAAGGATGTGTCCCAAACTGTGATGTTAAGAGGAGTCAGATATACCCTGTTTTATTCCTTTATGCCACAAGACTATACACATGCAATTTGCATGCAAGGATCTCTGCACATTCACTGGTGAACTAATGCATCAGGTATCACACATTTTCAAAAATAGGGCTCTAAGTATAAGAAAACAATGTCCTACGTATTCATCATCAACAATCCACACTTTATATGATGCTTGTCAGAGTATGGAGCAATTTTTCATATAACCTCCACCTTACCACAAATTCCCAGCTAGCATGGTAACTCCTTTCCTTTTCTATATAGCATTATTGATATGGATGATGCATAGTGGGCTGTAGTGGATAGAGTGACAGATTAAGGACTCAGGAGGCTTGTGTTTGAATCCCCCTTCAGCTATGGAAGCTCACTGGGGGCATGAAACGGGTAACACCACTCCTTAATTATCTCACGTACCTAGAAAGCTCTCTTAGAGTCACTGTAAGTTAGTTCCAACTTGACGGCACATAACAACAACATTGATTATATGTGGCTAATTAGGACCTGTCCTACCATTAGACAAAGTTAAATGACTTCCTCAGGTACCAGATGCTGGGGAGACAGTGTGGCAGCTTCCTGACATTTCCTCCTGCGCCGTTTTTTTCCTTTTACTCTGTTGGAGGGCAGACCAGTTTGCCCTTAAGCTTCAAAACTAGCTTGATGCCTTAGATGTAGTGGAAAACTTTATCTCATAGCCAGTTAGGTAAAAAAAAGTCACCAAACTTGCTTCGGCAGAAAAATGTCTTCAGCTACCAGGGCTTGAAATCACACCAGAAGGCTGAAGGAGAGAATATATGCATGTACTTCCCAGTAATCTGTATCTTCTCTTACATGGCTTAAAGGTAGACTTTCCTGCTTATGTGTTGTATTGTAGGTAATCTTCACCATGAGAAAAGTTGAAGATGAAAGGCGGTTAAAGTAGGTTTCTTAAGAAAAGTGGATGTTTCTGGATATAATGGAAAGATGTGATTAACGTGATCCAGACTTAACAGAGGGTCACCGCTGTAGTCCTGTAATAAGACAGCAGGAAAGGATTTAAAAAATGCAGAACTACAGATAATGGGTAGTTTGGGCCTAATGTATAGTTCTGGGTGGTTGGAAATTGTATGTCAATAGAAGCAGAGAAAAAACTGCATTGGAAAGATGAAAGCCACATATCATCTTTCTGTGGTAATGATGCAGCTCAACAGGGTGCAGATGGGTGGGAGAATCACTCCAAGATATAAGATGCTTACAGCTCTTTTATTCAGTAAATCATTATGTATATTAAAAAAGGAGAAATTGTCAGAGTTTTGTTTCTATTTTTTAAATGAGCTTTTGCCTATGTGGAAGTAATGGGAAGGCATGTACTCCTGTTGGCTCTCCCACTTTTTGTATCTGTCTGCTTAGGGATATGAAGTGATCACTGAGTGATCCACAAAGAGGTGAAGGTTTTGTCGCAAGAGTGAATGTTATCCATCATATATGAGTGTGACTACACGGTCAAATACCATGAGATTTGCTCCGCTTATAAAATGAGTGAATTTGAAATATTTTTTTACTGACTACATGACAGAAAGACTGATTCAAATTGGTCTGAAACAACTCTTTTTTCTCTGCCCCTGACTGGGTGGGGATTCTTTTTTTTCCAGCTAGAGCAATTCAAATGGGCTTTTTCCAGTGTGGTTAGTTGTGCTTTTTCCATCTAGAGCAATTCACACACTTTTTCCAGTGTGGTTAGTTGTGATACAGTCTTGAAAAGATGGTGAGGGTGTCTCTAGGTGCTGTTTCAGTGGTGTAGGCCGTTGGGCAAGGTGTTCAGGGTCTGCAGGGGGAGGGGCATGCAAAAACAAAGGAACATGATTTGAATGTGTGGGATCAGGTACTAGTCCTGAATCCTGTCAAACATGGTAAGCTTCAGATCATGTGGGAAGAGCTTTTTGTTGTGAAGCAAAAGCTTAGGAGTGTTAATTACTTGATTGACAGGTTTGAAAGTGGACTTTAAAAGTTTATCATTCCAATAATTTAAAACCGTTTGTGAGCAGAAATGGGTAATTCCTGCATGTGTTACTTGAAAGTAAAGGAAAACAGTAACAGATGGGATGGAGACAGTGGTGATCCCTGTTATTGAATCATTCTGGCATGCGAATTATGATGTATTTTTCAAAATTACTGTTGAAATCTTGATGGTTCTATACTCTTTTACTGTTAAGTACTTTTCCATATTATTTTTTAAAAGGTTTTGAAAAATGCAACAATCTGAAGTTTTAAATGAGAAAGCTACTTCACAGCAAACCACAAAAGAATCAGCATTGGTGGGACCAGAGGAAGGAGGACTTGGCAAAGGCGGGACCATAGGAAGGAGAGAAGGAAGGGGGTTGTAGGCTGGAATGTGACTTGCATCACATCTAGTATGAGAGGTGAACTTCTGAATCAATCTGCAGCCCTTATATGAATACTAATTGAGTTTTCAAATGTAATATACAGTAGGTGTAAGTCAAATTACAGCAAAACAGAATTGTTCCAATTTGGCTTTCCAGTGTAGTTGAACACTAAGGGGCAATGGCACTTCTCTTTCTTAAGAAGCCTACCCTGAGCTCTTGTTACTACAACCCAATTATTAAAAAAATATTTGGAGGCAAGGTATTAGAGAGTCTGTTTGCTGGCTAGCTTGTGATGTGCGTGAAAGAAGGTGATTATGTACATAACAGTGGGGGACATAATTGCTCTCCAGATGTTGTTAGACTCTACTTCATATCAGGCCTACCAGCATAGCTTGATGGGAGTTCCATTCTTATATCTGGAAGGGCATACAATCCCTATCTCCAATCTAGATCCATTTCAGTCTAGCTTCATAACTGGTTCTGACACTAAAATGGCTTTCGTTGCTCTGAATGATCATTTGTATAAGGACAACAGCAGAAGTATAACTCTGTTAATTCTCCTTGGTCTCCTGGAAGCTTTTGATATTCCTGATGATAGTATCCTTTCAGATACAAAACTACTTTTGCGAGTTGGGAGCTAGAGGCATGATGTTACAGTGGTTCCACCCCTACATTTGGCAAAAATGTCAGAAATACGTGGTAGGACATTTTTGCTTGGATCTTTGATGGCTATGCTGTTGGGTTCCACAGTTTCTCATCCTGTGCTGTGTTATTTAACATCTATATGAAATTTCTGACAGTTGGTTAGCAGGGGATTTGAGATAAGGTACCCTCAGTATGACCATGTAGTTCTAGTTCTCGTTTCCATTAGACTTAGGCTAAATATGCAGATACATTATCATACGTAGTTCTAGTTCTCGTTTACTTAGGCTAAATATGCAGATACATTATCAGTAGTTGGAAAAAATAATGGGCTCAGTGAGTACTAATAAACCGAACACAAACATGTCCGATCCCATGATTTAATGGTTCTTTTTTCAAAAGGCTTTATATTGCACTGTTTCCTATTATAGATAGTTAATAGATTACATTTATAGGCTTTTTGGTGTTGAGTGCCGGTCAGCCATTTTTTACTGATTTTACGATACATTAAATGTAATGGTCCACTCTTAGATCATTGTGCAAGGTCTAAGTTTTATAAATGTAATAAAATCAATAAATCGTGTGAAAATGTTCATATACAGTACGGAACAGTTAAATTCATTCTGTAAGAGTGAATAGTTTTGTCAACCCTCTTTTGATGTTTAATGCATTTAAATTCTTTAAATTTCCATTAAAATTTTGTGTCTAGGAATTTTGGAAGATAGCAAATCAACTCAGACCTGCACTGCAAAGTCCTCATCTACAAGCGGAACAGTTGAAAAGAGAGCTCACTGTGGTACACAGTGTACGAAACAGACATCTAACACCACTGGAACACAAAAGCAACATAATGGCTTTCGAACCACAGAGGTAGGTGTAGAAATATGTTCTTTGAGACTGACTGTACACAGAAGAAAATCCACATGTTGGCAATACATTTACTAATACTAACCGAAATTTCGTGTGTGCAGACTTTTGTTTTCTCCAGAGTTTTCACTGGTCCAAGTGGTGCAGAGAAGTTAGGCAATGATGGTGGAAGAAACATGGAAGTCCAAAGATTTGACTGGATTTTGTAACCATAATGTCTGCAGTTAAACTCAGGCCCAAGGTAGAGATTGTAGAGCCACTAGTCAGTATGCAGGTATCAATCATAATACTTAGAAACATGCGCTGGGATGAACAGGATGTTATAGGTGCTTATTCCCTCAAAAAAACAAAGCTAGTGCCAACTCAGATATATGTCCCTTAAGCAAAACACAGAGGCCCCCAAGGCATGAGACGGCAGACAAAAAAAAAAGAGAGAGACAAGAATAGTTTCCAGCAAAGCTGGAAGTTGAGTCCACTTTCATGTGTCCTGCACTCTCGGATGATCAAGAACAGATCCTGTTCTCCTTTGTATAAATGCATTTCAAGTATTTGAAGAGTGCTATCATATCTCCCCCCAATCTTATTTTCTCAAGGCTAAACATGTCCTGTTCTTTCTAGATGGTAACATCTGAGGCGCTACCTACATTTAAGAACAGATGTGAATGTAAATTAAGTACACAGATTAGAGGAGGATCAAATTTAATTTAGGTTCATAGATTTCACACTCCAACAAGCACGTCTGTAAAGAGAACTCACGACTAATCTGATTGAACATACAGTGGAATCCATACTAAGACCTATGTACTCTGTTAGTGCACAATGAATGACACGAAAGTGGGTCAGTCAGTAATCAAAGAGCCATAGCAATAAGAAACCTTCTAACTTTGGCCCAAGACTTAAAACAGGATGTGCTTTTGACTTGACTTGGCCAAGGGTGTTCAACTATATCTTAAGGCTTGGTTTCATCTTCCACTAGCATTGCACAATGCACAGGACTTTAAAAAGTCAAATTCAGTGTTCTGCAGGAAGGAGAGAGAGAGAACTGTGCAAAAGAAGATGGCACAGAAATTCCAGACAAAAAAAGTCTTCATACGTGTTATGAAAAGACATAGAAAAGGAACTGTAAACTCTTTATTCCCATCTCCCATATTTCCAGTAAAATAAAAAGGAATGTCCTTTCAGTGCACAGAGTCTATCTGTTGCTTGGACAATCTCTTGTTTTTCTTGTTTTGCATCTGACCTTGAAGAATGAGAAAAAGAATTGCAAGTGATACCAAAAGGATAGCATGCAATAAATAAAAAGGAGCTTCTTGCGGGTGACTCTTATGTAGTTCAACAGAGGTACTTGAAAGTACTGCAGGATTCATTTTGGGATTGTGCGGATTAATCGAGGAGATCTCATGCAGAGAAGCACACATGCATTTTCCTTTCCTAGCAGAGAAGGTTGTCCAACTGCTTGATCATTTTGGCTATCCACCCCCCTCTTTTTTTGCATAATTTTCACAGTATTCTCTAATGACCAAACAGTTACAGCATTCCAAAAGTGGTAATATTCTCTAACTGCCTGTGTTGTTTATTTGATTTATATCCTGTCTTGCTCCCAGAACTGTGATCCAAGATGGCTATTGGCCAGGGGATGTAGCTCAGTGGTAGAGCACATGCTTTGCATGTATGAGGCCCCGGGTTCAATCCCCGGCATCTCCATCTCCAATATTCTCTAACTGCCTGTGTTATTTATTTGATTTATATCCTGTCTTTCTCCCAGAACTGTGATCCAAGATGGCTATTTTATTTTCAGCTTTTTTCTTAATGATACCTCAACATGGTCCTTGTGTTTCACAGCTGCCATGGAGAAACAGATAGCATTTTTACAGAGCTCTCCAGCAAGACCCCAATATATCTCTTCTGGCACACAGTAATGGGAAGGTGAAACACCAATTAATCAGACATTTTTGAGGGATCCCCTTATCTGCATCCCCCTGTCAATCAATCTTTAATTTTTTGGACCTTGGAATCCTCTTTCAACATAACACGAAAATTTTCAGTGTTAGGAATAATTTTTTCCTAGCAATTTAGATGCTGTTCCTCCCTTTGTCCACAAGATGACAATAAGAAAAATAGGGCTTTCTAAACAAGGACTTAACTTGAAATGTGAATCATTTATTATTATTATTTTTGTCATACTAAATAATAATAGTTTGAAAGCATCTACATTGTTTATTGTTAGGATATCCCTAAATCATTATAATTGTATAGATTAAAGGAACAAATGAGATTCCCCATAAAGAGCAATTCATAGAATCATAAAATATTGAACTTGGAAGGGACTATAAGACCATCAAGTTCAACCCCTTGCTCAAGACAGGAATACAAATCAAAGGATATGTGTCGGATAGTTGGCTAGATTTTTCTTGAATGCCTACAGTGTTGGAGCATTCACCACCTCTTGAGGTAATTGATTCCATTGCTGTACTGCTCTAACAGTTAGGAAGTTTTTCCTGATATTCAATCGAAATCTGACTTCCTGTAGCTTGAGCCCATTGTTGCATGTCCTGCACTCTGGGATGATTGAGAACAGATCCTGCCCCTTCTCTGAATGGCAGCCTTTCAGGTATTTGAAAAATGTTATCTTATATCCTCTCAGTCTTCTTTTCTCAAGGCTAGATATGCCCAGTTCTTTCAGTCTTTCCTCATAGGCCTTGGTTTTCAGTTTCCTGATCGTCCATGTGGCCCTCTTCTGAACTTAATCCAATTTTTTGGCAGTCTTCTTGAAGTGCATTGTCCAGAACTGTACACAGTAGTCAAGATGAGTCCTGACTAGTTCCAAATAGAGGGGAACAAGTACAGTGGTGCCCCGCTTAACGAGCGATTCGTTTAACGACAAATCCGCATAGTGATTAAGTTTTTGCGATCGCAAAAGTGATCGCATAACAATGTTTTAAATGGGAAAACATCGCTTTGCAATGATCGGTAAGCTGTTTCGCTTACCGATTATCGCATAACAATGTTTTTCCAACAGCTGATTGGCGGTTCCAAAATGGCCACCGGGTAAAGAAAATGGCCGCCCGCTGTGTTTCCACGCCCTTTCCTCACGTACCAGGCAGCGAAAATGGCAGCCGCATGGAGGATTTCTGCATAACTGTGAGTTTTGTGCCCATAGGAACGCATTAAACGTGTTTTAATGCGTTCCTGTGGGCTTTTTTGCCCCGCATAGCGACAAATCCACATAGCAACGATTTTTTCGGAACGGATTATCGTCACTATGCGGGGCACCACTGTACCTTGCAGGATTTGGAGACTATGCTTCTGTTAATGCCTAAAATAGCATGTAGCTTTTTTGTAGTCACATCACACGGTTGGCTCATATTTAGCTTCTAATCCACAATGACTCCAAGATCCTTCTTGCTTGTAGTATTGCTGATTCAGGTATCCCTAGAGATGGGAATGCCTGGGGAAAAAAAAACAGAAAATGGTGTGGGGGAGGGAGTTTTTAAAAAATGTTTTCCAAACCTTTTTTGTTTTTTGTTTTTTCCAGAAAAAATAGAACATGGAATATGCTGTTTTACAATGATAAATAATATCTCTATGATGTGGTATTCAAACTATATGACATTAAGACTTTAATGAAAGACTTCTGAGACTTTATGCATTTACGTTTTCTCTAGAGATGTAAAATTTCTGAAAATTTCTGGGGGGGAAATGACATTTTTGGAAATTTTACATCGCTAGGTATCCACCATCTTGTACCTGTATGTTTGGTTTCTTTTTCCTAGATGCAGTACTTTGCACTTATCCCTATTAAAGTTCATTCTTTTGTTTTCAGTCCAGTGCTAAAGCCTATTCAGAACATTCTGAATTTTATTTCTGTCTTCCGGGGTATTAACTAGTCTGCCCAATTTTGTGACAACTACAAATTTATTAAAGTTCATTCTGTTGTTTTCAGTCCGGTGCTAAAGCCTGTTCAGAACATTCTGAATTTTGTTTCTGTCTTCCGGGGTATTAACTAATCTGCCCAATTTTGTGACAACTACAAATTTGATTAGCATTCCCTGCACCCCCTGATCCAGGTCATTAATAAAAATGTTGAAGAGCCCAGACCCGGTGACTGAGCCCTGAGATACCCCACTTGTTACTTCCTCCCAGTTTGAGAAGAAGCCATTAATCATCACCGTCTGAGTACAATACTGTAACCAACTGTGTATCCGCCTGACAGTTGTTCTATCCAGCCCACTCCTAGTTAGCTTGCTTATTGATAACATAATTAGTTTGCTTCCAAGTATTCATGAAAACAAAATAGAGAGAATTATTGAAAAACTGCCTTGTAATTTTCTAATTGGATAAAATAAAGGTGTATAATTTAAACTACACCACACATATCTGGAAATGTAATTGATAGATTGCAAGTACAGTACAGCTGAGAAGTTTTCTGAAGTAATCATATAAAAGAGAGTTCTTTCAGACAGAATTAGGAGTTGAGAAAATGAAGAATATTTAAACTCTTCATATGCTGACACAATATTCCATTTAGGGTATGAGAAAAATACTTTTATTTCTATTGGTGCACTTTTATTGGTGTATACATCAAGTAGTAATAGTTAAGGAGTAGTATTTTTCTTATGATATAAACATGGATAGAATTTTATAATTTTGGCATATAATTTCTGAAATTTATATACTTCAAGCTTTTTCAATAAAAGAAGACTTAAAGATATATGAAGACTTTTTGTGACTAGTTTTTCTGTTCAGAAGTAGAACTGGATGTCCAGAAGATATTTTTGAAAGGGGCAATACATTTTTTTGGGGTTTCCACAAGAAATGACCTTTCCTTTGTGGAGAAATATTGTCAGTTGTGGAAGAATCCCAGAAATGGCCTTGTCTCTGGAGTATATTCTTTGGGATAGGATCCAGAGATGAGGTAATTTGCAGGTACCTTTAAATATGACAAAACCTTCCCATTGTGTCTGCTTTTTTCTACTTGCTTTCTGTTAAGTTCTGATTAAACATTTCATAGTAGTCATAATTTAAGGAGGGAACTATGTCAGTAGTTGAGATGTTGAATGTGTGTGTAAGATTTATTAAACTGTATCAAAATATGATGATGGTGATGATTGTAGTAGTCTTTGGTCTTTAATGTTGTTGCTTTGTCTTGTTTCTCTCTCTGTTTAGGAAATTCACTTTTATATTAAATATGAACCTAATATATTATAAACTTTTTTTAACAGGCTAAATGGGACAACAAGAAAAAACCCACAAAGGAAGTCCCTGTTAATGCAACAAAAGCAATCAGACAAATCAATAGCAACAGAAGAATTACAAAGAACTGTGTCAATTGAAACACAGGAAGAGGATGTGTTTTATCCTTTTATTACAGATGAACTCTGTGATATTTTGCTGCACTTTAACAGACAGGGTAATGTGAAGATCGGCCAGCTGCTGCTGAGTGCCTTTGGAAAAGTGTTTGACGGTCTTGGTTCTAAAATGTCTGCCAGCGCTGGGTGCTTGAATATTTCTTTTTGTTTTGTATTGCCATTTTGGTGAAGATAGGTTAGGCAATTAATAGATACTTTATATTATCATAAGTGGTTTAATAAAAATAAAAGCGTGAAACAAAAATATTTCAAACATCTTGATAAAGCCCTCCAGAAATTATCATATGTGATTCTTGCTATTAGATCCACAAGCTAAAAGGTCATATTATCATCCTATGGTTGACACTTATCAAAAATCTAATATTCAAGCACTAAGAATATTCCCAGCAGTGACTCTTTAAAGAATGGCATATTTTATTATTTGTCTCAGCGGCATAAGGAGTATGTCATACGAGAATTCCATAATTATTATGTATAATGTGTTATTACAGAATATCACCGGCTATCTGTGGTCTGAGCCAAGAGAGGTCATCCCCTCCTTTCAGGGTGGACCAAACTTCCTATGCAGAATATGTCAGATAGCCAAGGTTTGTGCCAGGATAGATAATTCTGTGCGATTTGAGAGGCACTTGAGGACTTTATATTTCTACTGTGTCCATTTCTGCACCATATTGGAGCCTAGCACTATGTTGTAATGTCACAGCTGGCAATTGTATCAACCCACCTCAACTGTTACAATCATTGGTTCCCAGCACAGAATTAACTCGTTCAGTCGTTACTATATGCCACTCACTTGCTAGTACAAGAGGTTGAACTGGCGGGCTTTCCCCATATCACTATGTTTGGATAATACAAAGTCTGACTGAAAATGCAAAGTTGGCAGTGTGTGTTTGTTGGTTTGTTAATTATTAAAACATGCTGCCATATAGTAGAGCTCTGTCAAATGCATAATGTGCTGTCACTTGGTAGGAGTCATGGTAATTAATGTACGGAATGTCGAAGAAAATAATTACAGTGGGTGCTCTTGATGCTCCCAGTTAGAATAAGTTGAGATTTAGGGTCAAACCACAAAGGCAATCCAGGATGGAGGAAAGCGTTAAACTGGCATTACTGCCATTTTTCCAGGCTAAACCATGCCCGAAGCCAACTATTATGAGCCCTGTAGCAATGTAGACATATTGTAGGTACCTGTAACTTTTTTGGGGGGGTTGAAGGGCTAATAAAATCTTCAAATATGTACTGAAAGGAGAGGATAAACTTTTGAAAATGGCAGAGTTAAAAAGGTGAAACACCCCTCACTCAGAATATGAACTTCCTTGAGCTACTAAAAGACAAGATAGGAAATCAAGGTGTGATCCTTTTCCAAAAGAAACAATCTGTGCATATGGAACTGATGGTGAAGTCTATACATTAAAGGAGAAGAGTGAGATTGACAGGCACAACTAATTTCTAAAAGGTATTCTGAACTGTAAATATATTACCTACAATTATAGGACAATTTAGATGTATAAAAGTGTTTAATGACAAATGTTAATAATGTGTGAGTCACAGAAAAAGCACTTTAATCACAGATGAACAGAGATTTGAAACAATTCTAAAATTAACTATACTGTTTATGAAAATGATTTTACTTTTTAAATAAATTGTTTGAAATAAAAATTAAGTATTTGAAATCAATATTTAGATTTTAAGCTTAATTCTAACTCTCATAGGCTAACCATTGAAACATATACTCCAATGGGCATTACTATATATCTGTCTGCTCCTAAGAGAACATCTTTAATTCAAATTGCATGGATGTTTAAAGTACATAATTATAATGGAGTCCGATGCTTCATTTGAGCCTGTGCTCACAATTGGCAATCTTGTCCATGCTTACTTAGGAATAAACCTCAGAATGTGCTTCTCAGTAAACATGCATGATATTGGGTGTTCTAGGGATTATACAATATCTGCAATGTAATCTTGCATGGCTCTAAACTACATATATTGCTTTAGTTTTAATAGTAAGGCTAGCAGACTGAAATATTGTAGGATCATTGACATACTAGTCTTATGCACAGTGGCCCCACATGTTGACTCAATGTGCATAAGGGGGAAGGAATGTGAAAGCATCTGCTTTGGCATGCTCACTGGCAATACACTTGCTGTGCTTTCATTTACGTATATGAGTTGAAAACGCAAGTATGAAATGCAAAGGGACTTCTGCAGGTTATACATATAAAATTTCTACACAACTGGAATTCTGGATGATCAAGATTTCTGGTGAAGACCCCTCTTCCAACCCACCCTTCTTGCATTGTATTTATTTATTTTAAATATTTTCAGCCCACCATTCTCTTCAAAACAGGACCCAAGGTGGCTCACATCATTAAAACATAAGAACATAAGCAGAGCCCTGCTGGGTCAGGCCGAGGGCCCATCCAGTCCAGCTTCCTGTATCTCACAGTGGCCTCACCAGATGCCTCTGGGAGCACACCAGACAACTAGATACCTGTCTCCTGATACAATATTAAGAGCTAAAAATAATAAATTATTCATATTTTTTAAATAAAATAATTAAACATGCTAGGTAAAGGCATTATTGAAACAGATTTAAAACCAATAAAAATACAAACCATCCTGGGAGGGAGTTCAAGAGCCTGCAAGCAGTGACAAAGGCGGCCCTCTTTCATGTCTCCACCAAACACACCTGTGAGGATGGTGGAACTGAGAGAAAAGCCTCCCCCTATTTATCTTAATGCCCTGACTAGCTCATAAAGAGAGATGTAGTCCTTGAGATAGCTTGGACGCAAGCTGTTTATGGCTTATAGGTTAAAACCAGCACTTTGAGTTGTGCTGAGAAATGGATTGGCAGCCAGCAGAGCTGCTAAAATGGGAGTGATGTGAGCCTTGTAACCAGCCCCAGGTAATATGAACAAAGCTTATCCCAAATTCATCTGCCAATCTGCTTTGTTATTCAGCCGTCTGTACACTCCATCACAGAGGCAGCTCTGACAGCCCATGTGATTGTTATGCCACTTCCATCACCAACCACAGTTCCTCATACTCTGTGTGTCGAAAGGATTGTGCAATCTCATCAGAGTATAAATATGGCATAGTCTCTATTAGAAATGTTGCCTTGTCAGCACATATCCAGTCTTCCTCTCAGACTCACTTGTCAACAATCATGAAACTCCTTCATCTGAGGACTATTTCAACCACTCTAAATTTATGAGATAGCTGGCCAGTTCTATGTGTATATGCCTTTGGTGGTGGCATCTTTCACATGGATTGGAATTGATTTTGAGGCTAATTAATAATCTCTGTTCATCAATGTATAGTACATACTTGAAAAATTGTGTTTTCCTAGTTTGACTGAAGATTTGTGGACTGACAAAGCAATTGACTTATTTCTTGCTGAAAAGGATTAATAGTACCAAGATGTGATTTTCAGAAATGCTAAAAATAAATAATGGTTGTGGGGGAAAGATGCAAAATGAAGTCTCAGTCTAGTGCAAGTGTTTTTCTTTCAACCTATCAAGGTTTATCACTTTCAAAATGACCCCTACTGTTTTTAAGTTCCTACCACTTTCTCCTTTCTCCCAGATTTAGCCCCAAATAATCATGACAATCTGTCCTGACAGTTTAGGGCAATGGAGTGGAAACATCATATTAAGCTTCCACTCAGCAGAAAGTCCCACGAAGTGGGATCCACTTGCACAAGTGTTGTTCTTAGCAAACACAGGACAGATTTCCTTAGTGGAGATGATGGCCTGTGCAATGCTGTGGTAGCACAACCTTGTGTTACTAGATGGGTAGATTTCCTACTCAGCAGAAGCTCGCATACTGCCATTATTTTGATACAGCTGGCAAAGCCTACAAATATTATTTTGATGATCAGGAGTGGATCAAGACAGCCACTTTAAGCACACCACAGAAGGACACTGGAATAAGTACAGTATATAAGCCTTGCACCCTAACAATGTTATTCTTTAATGTTCTAGATTATTCCTTTGCCAAAACAACACAATGCCTTTGAACTGGCAAATGGAGACACGTGTTTTATTTTTTAGGGCAGTCTGGATCCTTACCCCCCAATGCTGCTGCAACTTCATAGAGGCAAATCTAGCAGATATAGATTTTCCATTTAGAATTTCATTGCCTCTTTGGTGCATTGTAGGGGAGGTTAAAAATGTCAGAAAAACAGTCTCAAATTAATAATCTTCCCCACTGTGTTGAAAAAAATACATATGCACAAAAACTGTCCCCTGGAGGTAACTAGAGCCAGCTGCCTGTGGAGACTCAGGCTTTGAAGCTATTTCCCGAAGGCTATTTATTATTCATTATGTTCATTAAGAAATAGCTGCTAAGGTGGATGTTATTGATTTCTCAATTCCTTGTCACCCCCACAAACAACCACCAAGATTTCTTCCTTTTCTTTCCTTTTTTTAAAAAGGATGTCATTCATATTGTTCTTGCTCTGTGGTCTCTCAGAAATTTGCAGGCTTGAAGCTCTCAGGGAAGACTGGAGCACTTGTACATGCTATTTTGACAAAAACACAATAATAGGAAAGTAACATTCAGGGAAGACACCTGGAGAGACTGGCAAGATGGAGCGCTCCATGCAACCAACACAGATACTTTGAAGATCCCTTACAAAAATCTCCTTAAAGCTCAGCTTGATAATTGCAGTTTCAAATGACATTATAAAGATCAGTCACAACATTAAAACCACTGACAGGTGAAGTGAATAGCATTGATTATATTGTTATAATGGCACATGTCAGGGAGTGGGATATGTTAGGTAGCAAGGGAGCAGCCAGTTCTTGACTTTCATATGTTGGATGCAGGAAATGTAAGCAAGTGAAAATTTCTGAATGACTTTGACAAAGGCCAAATAGCGTTGGGTAGATGACTGGATCGGAGCATCTCGAAAACGGCAATTTTTGTGGGTGTTCCCGGTACGCAGTGGTTCGTACCACGTCAGGGCCATGAGCTCGTTGATGCAAGTGGGAAAAGAAGGCCAGCTTGTCTGGTTCAATCACACAAAAGAGGTACATACTGTGGCTCAAACTGCTGAAAAACGTAATGCTGGCCATGATAGAAAGGTGACAGAACTTAATGCTGGCCATGACAGGAAGGCGTGGAAAGGTTGCAGTTTGCTGTGTATGGGGCTGCATAGCACTGGACCAGTCAGAGTGCCCATGAAGACCCCTGTTCACTGCCCAAAGTGCCATCATTGGGGACATGAATGTCAGAACTGGACCATGGAGCAATGGAAGAAGGTCACCTGGTCGCATGGGAATGTTTTAAACTGTTAAGTCTCCAGGGCCAGGTGAACTGCAGCTGTGGGTACTAAATGAACTTGCAGAGAGGTATTTTCGGAGCCTCTGTATAATCTGTGATAAATCTCAGAGAGCAGGCAACTACCTGAAGATTGGAAGTGGGCAAATGTCTCAATTTTCATAGGGAAGGGGACAGGGCATTGACTTGGCATTGGATTAAGGAGTAGAAGGAATTAATGCTTATTGAATGTACAGATGACACCAAACTGCAGGGTGTAGCTAATACCTCAGAAGACAAAACCAGGATTCAAGATGATTTTAACAAATTGGGAGAACTAGGCCAAAACAAATGAAATGAATTTCAGAAGGGATAAATGTTCAGTTCTACATTAGAAAATGTACAGAAATAAGTGGGGTGACAGTTGGCCTGTCACAATAGCTTTGAAAAGCATCTAGAGGTCTTAGTAGATGACAATGAGTTTAAAAGTGTCCAGATAATGGAAAAACTGCATCACTCTGTTCTGCTTTGGTCAGATGTCACCTAGTCCTAGAGTACTGAGCACCACAGTTTGAGAAAAATATCAAGTAGCCGGAATGTGTCCAAACTAACAAGGTGATAAAGAGTGAAAACCAAAGCATACGAGGAATAGTTGAGGAAGCTGGACGTTTAGTCTGGAAAAGAGAGTGAGATCATTGCCATTTTCAAATACCTGAAGGGTTGTCACATAAAAGATGGAGCAAACTTGCTTTCCCAGTTGTTGTGGAGCAAACTGATCAATTGAGATTACAGGAAAGGAGATTTGGAGTAAACATTAGCGAGATGTTCAACAGTGGAATGGATGAACTCAAGAGCTGGTGGGCCTTCCCTTACTGGAGGTTTTAAACAGAGTTTGGGTGGCCACCTGTCAGAAATGCTTTAACTTGGATCCCTATATTGGCAGACGTTGTGGATTTGAACTTAATGATCCTTCAAGTTTCTCAATCCTGTGATTCAGTCCATGTGAAAGTGAATCCATTCATCTGTACAAAATTGCTTTGTTTTTGTCATTAAAGTTCAACTGGACTCTTCTGTTGCTCAGAGCAGGTATTAATGCAGGTATTAATTTATTAAGAACATTTGTAAATAATGCTTTGGTTTCCATAGTTGGAACTAATTAATAGTTTGGGAACAACCGTTCTGATAGCATAGAGTAGGCATATCTTTGTGAAGGCAAGAGGAGAAGGGGACGACCGAGGATGAGATGGCTGGACAGTGTCTGCAAAGCAACCAACATGAATTTGACACAACTCCGGGAGGCAGCGGAAGATAGGAGGGCCTGGCGTGCTCTGGTCCATGGGGGTCAAGAAGAGTCGGACACGACTCAATGACTAAACAAATGAACGAAGGCATATCTTTGTTCCTGCTCGTCTGAATAAATCAAAAGAAGACATCAAAGTGTTATATTAATAACATTTAATAACCAACTTAGTGGTACTACAACCATTCACAGACAACTTGCTGCATACTGACTAGTGAAGCAGAAGGAGATCAGCTCTGGGGAAATACAATGCAACATTCATGCAGCAATGCTTATTTAGGGATTTTTTTTAGGGGGGGAACCATACATTCATGATATTTTACACAAATTTAAATTATTATTTTTAAGCAGTCAAAAATTCAGCAATCTTTTCTTTTCCAGAGTCAGAATATGCCTATTTTTCTAAGACAGCTGTCAATAGCTCATGTCAGTCTCTATCTAAAGCAAACTAAATTAGTGTGAGACTTTTGGTCACCTTCCATTAAAGAGGTTTTATTTCTACCAGCTTCTTATTAACTTTAATGTTCAGAAACAGTCTGATGAAGATGGAGATAACAAATACAAAAGCAAGGTAAGAATTCTCCCAATCTCATTGAGGGTTGAGAAACCTTTTACAAAGTTTCACAGTTCTACTTCTTGTTCTTTGCAAAAAGGAGAAGCTTCATGACTCATCCTGTGAAAAATCCAATTTTGAAGTAGGCATCAAAGCATTAACATGACATTGTCAGTTTTTGCATTTTGCATTTTTTTTCTGAAAGAATAACACAGAGTCACACCAACCCTATGAGTGAT